ATAAACCAAAGAAATCACATATAACAAGCATACACACATAGATAAACACATAGTACTTGTATTCTCCCCCAAAAACAAGTGAAAACCGAAAACCGAAAACAAGGGGGTATGAACTCACCTTGGGTTTGTGGTTTCGGTTTTGAAGAAGAGATGAAGAGATCTTGGTCCTAGCAAGCTTTCTTGGGTGGGTCTTGAACCTAGGAGGGTTCTAGGAGTGTGATCACCAAAAACTTGCTTAGAATGAGTGATCTAATCATGAGAATGAAGTTATAATACTTGAATGTGTAAAGACTTACCAAGAAATGATGATTTTTGGTGGTGAAAACCTTCTTGAAGATGTTCAAAATCTCGAAAATTAGGAAGGAAGGGAAGGAGAGTTGTTTTCCTTGAGAGTGTTTGAGAAAATTTCCAAGTAAGATGTGTGTGTTTGTGTGTTCGACCGAGAAGAAGAAGAGAGAGGGGGAAAGAGAGTTGAAGTGATAGATGCATGGATGTATGGGAAGTTCATGGTTATTTGTTGTGTAATTGCTCAATTATTCCTTAAACAAAAGTGAGGTGTCAATGCATTAATTTACACCATTATTCTCCTTTTTTTTGTATATATATGTTGGGCAGAGAGGGAGAAGGAAGAGAAATAGTTTGGGCCTTCAATGCTTGAGTCCGATAATATGAGGCCCAATTTGATGGTTTTCGGCCCATTAGGCCTTTAGAGTAGTTCACGGCCCAATCTTGTATAAACGAATGGATTTATGGCCCATTAAGGCTAATTAGATTTGTTATGGCCCAACAAGGCCCATTAAAGGTAAACTAATCCATTTTAGGCCCATGATGGCCCAAAAGGTTAGGTTTTATGAATGTGGGTCCAATTAGAGCCCAATTAAGGGTTCTAAGCCCAAAATAGTCAAATTGGAAACTTATTGATCCATTAGGCTCAATAAGGAAATTCTAGTCTATAATGGACTTAAACCAGGATTTTTAGGGTTTCCAATCTTTTGTTGACTATTCTAAGTGTTTGTATAAAGTGTTTGATGGAATTTTGTTGTCATTGAATAAACATCATGCATACTTTCAAGTCATGGTTACAATTGTTTCCATTGATAATGCTTACATAAGGATAGAATTTCCTAGCCAAATTTGCTAGTTGTGACATTGTTGAACAAGCTTCAGAAAGCAAGCACCAGAAATCTCGTGCCTCTAATGGTTTGTACCCAAACCCTAACAATAGAAGACTTGAGAGGAGAGAAGAGGGAGTAAGGAAAGTTTTGTCTTTTATTCTTGAGAAGGAGTGGCCGAAAATTGATGCCATAAGGCTCCTTATATAGCTGAACAAGGAAACTATAGATAACCCTAATTTAAATATAATACTATTATTTCAAATTTGATAACCATCCAACTCCTTAATTATCTTTAAGGATAATTCTATAACCCTTAAAAGGCCCTACCAAAACCATCCAAGCTATGGAAGGTTCTGGAATTACTTCTTGTTCAACTATTGAATAATTACAACTTAGGTCCTTACACTTTTAATTAATCCAATTAATCCCAAAATTAATTCCAATTAATTTCTGATTAGTTATTGATTAAATAATACTATTTCTAATTAATATATTAAATTAATAATATATTAATAAATTGTTTATTGCTATTTATTAATCTTATAATAAACTAATAAGCCAACTTCTCTCTCAAAAAAGTCATTATGTCAATTACTAGTTTTGAGGGCAACCTAAAAGGACTCTGCTTTTAATTCAAGTATATACCAATTTCGTTTAAGGGGCTTAATGGTTAAGACATTGTTGTACTGAACTTTATTTGGACATAGGGTTTGAGATCTTGATATCTTTGAGTGTCTTAATGGATAAAGTTGGAAACTTTATCCATCTAGACTATAAGAAGGACCAGAGCCTCGGAGCTCGTTGGATCGAAGGAAATAACTTAACCCATTAAGCTGTTGGGAACCCAATGCCCATGACATGGCTAAAGGTCACCACGAAGTGGTGACTGGGAAATTCCCGACTGTATCGTTGTATGAGAGCCACGACATGGCCATGGATAGCCACGACGTGGAGGTTGACTAAAGTGGATGTTGATCGTTGACTTTTGGCATAGGTTGACTTTTGGCCAAATTTCTATTTTTAGAAGGTAGACTTAGGGTTTGCCTTGCGTGGATTGTTAAGAGGTGTTTAGAACCCATCTTTTAGCGATGAGAGCTGTTAGTTGTGACAGTCGACGCTGTGATTTAGGTGAGTCTTCTCACTATACTTGTGGGTCGAAGGCACCAATGATGACCTACTATATTGTGTTATGTAGGATGCTAGCTGTCTTTGTGACTCTTGTATGTATGATTAGGTAGAAATATACCCCAAGGCTGTGCCCATGATTATATGTTGGATTGAAAGAAACCCCAGGGATAGGCCTATTATTGTGTGTTTGGATTGAAAGAAACCCTAGGGGTGGGACCATGATTGTATGTTGGGTTGTAATATACCCCAGGGCTAGGCCCACTGATTTGTATGCTATATGATATTTTGGGGAACTCACTAAGCTTTGTGTTTACGGTTTATGTTTAAAATGGTTTCAGGTACTTCTAGTTTCAAAAGGAAGGGCCCGACTTGATTGCATTACATCCCTAGGAGATTATTCTCCAATGAATGTTTATGATTTTACTCTGGTATTTTGATGATACTTTTACTCTAATCGTCTTTTGGAACAATGAATGAATGGTTTTGACTTAATTAAAATAAAAATTTTACTTGGTATTTTTGGGACGTTACAAAAAGTAAAAGTTCTTTAAATCAAGAGTATTTAAAACTCAATCCACCACCAAAATCTTCAAACCAAACTCACAATCTCATCTTAAACATTCAAAACATGAAGAAATTTTACTAGAACCCATGAAGATATGAATGCAAATTGAAAACCACATAAATCGTACAAAAGAACATGGTGCCCGAACAAAAAATGTGTCTTCAAACTTTCGTGATAAAAAATTATAGCTTTTTAAGACCCACTTTGTTAATCACTTGTACCAATGTTCATCTCCGATTTCAAGAATCACCAATGTTCATATCTGATTTCAGAACCCATTTCACTTTTGGAACAAAAAAACCTTCATGGAGATGAAGACCAAACCTACAATGTACAATTTTGAAGATTAAAATTAAAGCAAAAAACCCTAAAATTATTTGGTTTGATTTTAAAGATAAAGACATAAACCTTCACTCATATAGGTTGAATATGAAGAACAAACCCACAAAGCACAATTAGGGAACAAAAATCCTTCACTCATATGGTTCAATTTTAGACTAGCTTGAAAATGAAGACCAAACTCGCAAAACATGATTTTGAAATGGTTTGGGTTTCATTAATCTTCTTCGAGCTAGTTTTGTTTTGACTAAGTTCTTGAACTCGATTTTGTATAGAAAGATCAAGATGAAGATCAAGCCCATAAAGCATGTCCTCCATCATATTTGTATGATCTAAAAGGGAAGAATCAACAAAATAGAGTTTTGAATCCACCCAAGTTCTAAAAGTAAAAACAAGATTTTTTTAACAAGTAAAATAATATTTTAGGGACATAGAATATTCAAAAGTTAAATTAAGGACCAACTAATCAAAACAAAAAGTTAGGTTGACAGCAAAAAAAAAAGATATTAAGGGTTAAATGGTCATTTTGTAAGATAATTATATGATTATTAACTTTAACAACCGGGGACCAAAATCTTATAAAACATGAATACAAGGACCAAAACTGCAACCTCATTTATTTTAGGACCAAAACCTTAAAAAAAAAGATAAATTCAGGGACCAAAGTTGTAATGTACTCTTATTATAAGTACTTTCTCATACCTGTTCTAGAACTGAGAGAGAATAATAGTCCACGATGGGGAAAGATACCAACCTATTCAAATCGATCCAAATTGAAACAGAAATTAAGGAAATTCTGCCGAAATTGAAGTATAAGCTTGCAAAGTGAAGAGCTTAGAAAGGGCGTCTGCTAAAAGTTCAGTGCTGCTGGGAATTTGAGGTACGTTCCCTAAACTGATAACTTGATGAATCATAAGTTATCAAGAAATAAATGGAAGCGTTAAGCCGTCAATGAAGTTTTATATAATTTATTAAGTAAATTTAAACAAACAGTTAAAAAGGTCGATCCGGAATGTGAGAAACGTATTTTGACCTAATTTAGTCAACGTTGTGAAGTTTTCGAATTAATATAGTTAGATGATTGAATAAAACAATTCGTGAAGTTAATATGCTGTTGTGTATGTTATAAATGAATGGAATTTAGAGGTAAATGAGCCGATTTATATGTGTATGTGTTGTCAATACAAAAAGAAAATAACAAGTCGATTATGAGTGTGCGCTGATGCTCTGTTGAGCAAATCCAAGTACGCTTGGCACTATATTACTAACTTTTTTAAAGAGGATACAAGTTATAGATTAATAGATGTTCGTGGTTGTGAAACTTAATAAGTTGGAGGATATCCTTTGCTATCCAGAGAGAGATAGATGCTGACATCAAATTATTAATATGAGCATATCCCTTGCTATCCAAAGAGAGTGACAGTGGCAGTAATTATGTGTAAAATTATTGGAGGATCTTGATTTTAAAGTCGAAAGTAGGAGTGTGGGACCGTTTATAGGAAATCCATACTTTTAGTAATAGTAACTTTCCAGTAAATAGAGTCCACTAAACTAAGAAATTAAGTAAGATCATTTTGATTGAATTGTTGAGTGTACCCCATGCATAAAATAGGAGAGGCTGTTTGTAAACAATATAAACGGTGGGTTGGTATGTAATGATTAATTACATTATTATTGGTTTGTACCAAAGCGGTCAACTTTTTTCACACTATAATAGTGAATCATTGGATTTGAAATTTGAATGCAATACAAACGAATTGTTAACCAAGATATATACTCTAGGTGAAAGATGTAGTGTAAATCAGTATTTAATGTAAAAACACCTGGAATGGGATATTTGATTCCATATTTTAATGTATGGAACGGTAAGTCAGAGATGGTATTTATGTATTTGGTGAAATTTTGGGGTATAAGCTATCTGACAAATAGCATAAGTGATGAAATAAAATTTGGTGTGAGAATGTACAATGTAGAAGTGTGGTGGTTAAATGTTGAAACTACAAAACATGATTATAACGATAAGGGAATTATAATTACTTTTCCATTATCTTCACTCTGTGGTTAACCGATCTAGAGACTTGAGAGAGAAGAGTCAAGTGGTGGAGGAAAGGCATCCACATACTCAGATTGATTCAAGTTGAAAGAAGATATTAAAGGAACAAATCCTATGCAAATTGAAGTATAAGCAAAATATTAATATGTTTGGTGTTGCTGGGAAATTTTCACCCTGTCTTTTCAGAAAAATCTCAACTTAGAGTTATAAGCAAAATATTAATATGTATCTTTCGAATTATAACTTGCATCATACTTTCAGAGGACTGAAGGAGTTCATATGACCAAAATAATAACAAAGAAGTCGATGAATAGTTATAGGATTTTCTAACATGGTAACCAGTTACTCTAATAACGAGTTCTGACAAGGTTTTTCTACGTGATAACAGGTTTTATTGGAAAGTCTATATAAAGCTCATTTCATTGTGATGCTGAAACCACATACATTCCATCTCAACTAATCAACACAACGATGGCATCTTCATCATCATCATCATCATCATCATCTTCTCCTTCTGCTCTAGCTTTTTCTTCTCAATCATGGAAATATGATGTCTTTCTTAGCTTTAGAGGAGAAGACACTCGCAAGACTTTTGTGGATCATCTCTACACAGCTCTCATACAACAAGGGATCCACACTTACAAGGACAACGAAACACTTCCTCGAGGCGAATTGATTGGTCCATCCCTTTTGAAGGCTATAGAAGAATCTCAAATTGCTGTCATCATATTCTCTGAAAACTATGCAGATTCATCATGGTGCTTAGATGAGCTTGAATGTATTATGAAATGCAAGGATACAAAAGGCCACATTGTTATGCCCATATTTTATGGCGTGGATCCTTCCGAAGTGCGAAAACAAAAACAAAAATACGGAGAAGCATTGTCCAAACATGAGTTGGAGAACAAGACCAAAGTTGAATCTTGGAGAAAAGCACTTGTGGATGCAAGTAACATTTCTGGATGGGAACCCAAGCACATTGCCAACGGGTAATTTTCTTCTTCAGTTACACATTTTCTATCCTTAACATATGTCTTTACTCTGTACAACACATTTTACTCATAACTTATAATCTTTTTATACAATTGTTTCAAATTGAAACTTTCAATTACTCTTGATGACCTTGATGAATAGGGGCTTTGAGTAGCTCAACTTTTCGGTTTGGTAAGTTAAAAGATATCTCGGTCCTAGGATTGTGGATAAGCTCAAATTCTAATTCTGCACCTAACGCCTCGCTTCAAGCTACAAAAACTAATCCATCTTGCTTTGGTTTTTGCTATTTTAAACTATGTGATGTGTCCAAAAAAATTTGTTACAAACTACTTGTGGTATTAACTTTACATGTCCTACTTTGAATCTGAAATATAAAGGACGATTAGGATCTCTTGTGTTTTCTATAGCCTGAAACAGATTACTACTTTTTGTCAGTGTGAGCATGTGTTAATTATACTTGTATATCCAATATGTAGGCATGAATCAAAGGTCATCAAAGAAATTGTTGAAACAATTTCTCAGAGGTTGCAACTAGTAACTTCAAGTGCAAATGAGGACCTGATTGGAATGGCGGATCGCATGCAACATTTGAAATTAGAGATACAAATTGGGTCGGGAGGTGTGCGCATGATTGGAATATGGGGGGTTGGGGGTGGTGGTAAGACTACTCTTGCTTCTTCCATTTACAATGAAATTTCTAGCAAGTTTGACAGTTGCTGCTTTGTTGAAAATATTCGAGAGGAATCAGGCAGATATGGTTTGGGAAAATTGCAAGAAAAAATTCTTTGTGGTGTTTTGAAACAAAAGGAAGTGCAGGGAATAGGGAGAGTTGAGGAAGGAAGACAAATGATAAAGGATAGGTTGTGCCACAAAATGGTCTTGATTGTGCTAGATGATGTCAATCAGCTTGACCAACTAAAAGCGGTAGCTGGATCACATGATTGGTTTGGTGAAGGAAGCCGAATAATAATCACAACCAGAGATGTGCATTTATTAAATGCACATAGAGTTGATGTAATGCACAATGTTAGCTTGTTAAACGATGAGGAGGCTATTGAGCTCTTCCACAAGCTTTCACCGCAAGATTACATACGTAAGGAAGATTATGAGCGGCTTTCAAAAGATGTGGTTTCTTATGCTGGTGGGCTCCCATTAGCACTTACAGTTCTCGGTCCTTTTCTGTGTGACAAAGATACGGATGAGTGGATGAGTGTATTAGCCAGATTGAAAGAGATCCCCAATGATGATATTGTGGGAAAGCTAAAAATCAGCTTTGATGGACTTACGGAGGTTGAGAAAGAGTTATTCCTTGATATTGCCTGTTTTTTTAGGAGGGAGAGGAAAGACCAGGTAATGGAGATACTTGATGCTTGTGGTTTTCATCCTGTTATAGGAGTGAAGGTGTTGATACAAAAGGCCCTCATAACTGTTTCCAACGGAAGGTTTGATATGCATGATCTGGTGCAAGAAATGGGACACTACATTGTTAGAGGGGAGCACCCTAACAATCCTGAAAAACATAGTAGAATTTGGAAGGAGGAAGATGTTCTAAAAATAAGTGCTATGGATGCAACGGTGGTAATGATTAGTCAACCTTTTCATGATATATACGTATAAAGAAGTACTCTTAATGCAAACTCCTGACACCATTTTGCTCTTATATCACAGGAACTTAAAAATATTAAAGCACTGCAAATTGGACTCAATTGGTTGCCAAAGAAAGAACAAGATCTTCCTCTGATTGCTGCAAACATGAAGAACCTTCGTTATGTTAAATGGGATGTCAACCATGAAAATCCATTGCTTAATAACTTTCCACCTAGGGAGCTTTGTTATCTTCATTTGTCCAGAGTCTTGCAAAAACAACTTTGGGAGGGTTGTAAGGTAACTTTTTTTGTTTATCTAACGGATGGAAACAAAACCGATTATGAAATATAGACGTGAATAATCCAGATTAAATTTTTAAGTATCTGTAGTATTGAAAGCAGGGGCCTTCATTCTGTAAATGTCTCTTGTTTTCAATGTGTATGTCTGCGTGTGTGCCATTTTCCTCATGATCTTTTCACCTTGATATATTTTTGACTTGTTTGCACCTGTATGCAACAGTTGCTGCCAAATTTGAAGATAATGGAACTTTGGAGTTCTAATATAATCATGACACCAGATTTTGATGGAGTTCCAAATCTTGAAAGATTGAAGCTGTATCAATGCATGTATTTAGAAGAGATTCATCCATCAATTGGACGCTTGGAAAGGCTTGTTCTCTTATCAGTAGAAGCTTGTACCAGTCTTAAGATGTTTCCACCTGTTACCCGACTAAAGAAACTCGAGACCCTTTCTTTCCATCATTGCCCCCAACTTTTTAATCCCTCAGAGATCCAACAGAATATGGACAATTTAGGTCGCAGCAATCTTCCTGGTGTAGAATGTTGTTTTCAGGGGCTTTCTTTATGCCAAACCAAGATAGGGTTGCAGTTTATCCTCAACATGCAAGAACTTGGATTCTTAACAAAGTTGGAACTCAGCAACTGTGGTTTGGGAGATGAAGACATAGGCTCTGATGTTTGGGAGTTAGCCAACTTGCAAGTACTGAATCTAGATGGAAATAAATTTTCACGACTAAATTTTGGTCTCTTCGGACTTCCCCGGCTCAAATGGTTAAACCTGTCATGGTGCCAAGAACTTGTAGAAGTGTCAGAGCTCCCACCAAGTATATCTATTCTTACAATGGATTATTGTTACTCACTTAGAAGCTTCGGAGATATTTCAAACTGCAAATGGTTGTGGAAAGTCTCACATGCGGGTGGGTACAACTTAAATCCACTTGATGGTGAGATATTACTACACTCCATGCTTCAGGTTTAGCTCTATGTACCTTTTCAATCTCAATCTTTATTATATATAAAATCCAACCATTAGATTCATAATTCCATTTGATATAATGTGGCAGGCAATTGATATTGAACATCACTTCATTGATTTCGCTCTCGCACACCAAATTCCAAAGGGGTTTGTAGGTGGGTGCTTTATGGGGAAAACATTCACATGGCGTTTTCCAATTGAATACAGGAAGCCATCCGGAGCTTCCATTAAATCTCATAGTGATAAGTTTACACTGCGTCTTCCAGATGATTGGTACAATGAGTTTTGTGGGTTGTTAATACGTGTTGTTGCCAACTCCGGGATTCTGGATATTGATATAATCATCAAGCAGGAGCCAGATAATAGAGAGTATGTTTTTAAGAATTGGAGGTTTGATAAACAACCGGAGCCTGAATATGATGGAAAAGTAAAGACATATGTGGGATATGTTCCCTTTAGTTCTTTGAGGCGGACCATGTCATTGAATTCATCATACAATATCATTTCATTTCACATACACAGGATGTATTGGACTTCGTTTGCAGCTGAGCTCGTTCCTAGGAGAAGTAAAGATGATCCAATGCAAACAACACAAGTCGCAACAAATTGCTCTGAATTTTGGAATAATGGACAGACATTTGAGATCCAACAAGATTTAGGATCTTCTATCAAGATTTCATGGGGGCGTTGGAAAAACATCTAATGAGACTCGATCGAAACTTGTAATTGTGATTACAGTTCAACATACATCGAGAAACAAATTGCAAAGGCAGGAGAAGGAATGTCATGAAGATGATTGCATAAGGATCAAACAAGATCTGAACCTGATGGTGTAATTCACTATAGCAGGTGCTGGAGTCTGATTCAAAGAACTCTTGATTTGAATGATTTGAATCTAGGCTCCGATTCCATAATATATTTTTGAGTATTGAGAAGGAAAGTCTTGTATATTATATTGAAAATTAATAGAAATGAGTACACTTTAAAAGTATACAGGAAATAACCACTTCTATATCATGACCACGTGCTACTTACAAAATACCTAACAATAACCTGTAAGTCACATCATAACTAACATCAACTACGTACTGTTGGGTTTTATTTAAAAACCGGTTTCTAAAAACACTAAAAACAGTAATGAAAATTTTAAAATGTTGAATAACTTAAAACCATTTTAACCCACCAATGATCATTTTGCATGAACATGAAAGGTAAAATCAACAATACAAAGACAGAATTACAACATTTGAAGTCTTTGATTCCTCTTGGGAAGTTGAAGTTGTAGAAGATGGAAAAAACAAAGTAAAGTTCTTCTAGAGATATCCACTAACAATTACCAACTTGATATGGATGTCAGTCCTTATAATAATAAGAACCTCTTAAGCTTTTAAGAACAAAACAAATCTTTTTTTATTAAAGGAGGGTATAAAGTATCAACTTTTCTCTAACAATTACTTAATCCTTTAATTGAAAGAGAGCATGAAAAACCATGAAATTTTCATAAAAAACCAGTAAGAATCAAAGCCTTTCTTAAGGCTTTTATTAAGGTCTTTATCCCATGAGTCTATTATTAAGACTCGTGCTTAATCATTTTGCCATGACATGCTTCTAAAGAATGACAGTCCCTTTAAAATAATCAAATAAGACAATTATGTCCCATAGCTTTCTCTAGTTAGGTTTTTATACAAAAGGATGAGAGATTATATAAAAAAATCTTCTAATTTTTATATTTTATATAGCCATGGCATCTTAACTAAAAGACAAAATGCTTTTAAGTCCAAAAAGATGTACATGACATTACAAATCATACCTTATGATATATATATATATATATATATATATATATATATATATATATATATATATATATATATA